GCCCTTTTCTTGTCTTGGTCTTTGTGTTGCCACTGAACCTTGTTCACAATCAGGTAAATGACGTTTCTTCCCAGTGCTGGTATGAATTCTCTTAGCTCTTCTTGTGTCAGCCTGAAGGCACAGAGCTGCTACCATGTGATTGGCTATCCTGATAATCTATAGACAAATGTGATTGTAGGGTTGGGGAGTAACCTAACCTCCATGTTTCCTCTGCTTTAGTTTACAACAGGTGAATCTCTGTGAGAACCAGCTGAGCAGTTTGCCACCTGGACTTCTGCATCTCAATCGCATCCAGAAACTCTCTGCTGCCAAGAACCAGCTCACAGCTCTGTTTGACCTCCCTCAAAGTATGTTCCAACTTTTCCTCCATGTATGTACGACTGTATGCAGTTATGTACGTATGCTAACCCTAACCAATCTTTTGCCTTACATGGAACAATAGATGTAGGTGAGATGACTGAAACAGTAAACGTGTAAGTCACTGTACAGACGAGGCGAGTCAGAGTCTTTGTACTTGAAATAAAACTTGTGTGTAACCACATCAATGTAGGGGCATGGAAAATAAAGAAAGAATATATTAAGAAGTAAATAATAAATATAAAACATTTGAAAACCAAAATAAACTTAATGAAAGTTCAAATGTCTCCCAGCACTGACAGCGAGTGAGGGTAGCAGGGATGTTGTTGTGTAAACATAATTTATTTCATCTTTCAGGCTCATCGTGTTTGGCTTTAAGTCTGATTTTATTCCACTGAAACACTCGTGTAGTTTCACTTTGAGTCTCACCGGGGTGTCACAGTCTTTCCCGCCTCACATCCTTCAGAGATGAGCAGGTGAAAGAACATCTCAGATAAAGGAAAACATGTTCAAATAAACAGATGAACATGTATGGAAGGACATTTGTCTCAAAGGGGTTCCACATAAGGCTGAGTAACTGATTCATTTTTACTCAGACAATCAGAAATATTCTAATTCAGATCATTGGTGAGACGTCATCAGAGGTGTGAACATCGCAGCAGAGGCCTTTGTGTCAAAGTAACTGAGGATAAAACAGCAAACCATGAAGGAGATTTTCCTGGTCTGGGTTTTTATAGCAGATAACCTTAAAGATTTTCTGCAGTAGAACAAAAATGGAAGAAACCATGAATCAACATGAACATTACCTGATGCTGAAGTGAAGCAGAGCAAAGTTACAGAGGTTTGATTAGAGACGTGGCTGCAGCTTAGCATCATTTTAAAAAGTTTACATTTCTTCAGTTTTGAACAGCAGAAATGAGGCTTTCTTGTTGGGAAAGAAAACAGCGCCGTACACAGCGATAGTCTGGTGCGTAATAAGCAAGCGCATAATGCAGAAAACAGAGATTTCTGATGGTAAACTGGTCTCTGAGTGCACTGAGAGAGAGAGAGAGCGCGATGTGCAGGAAGTAAACACAAAAGGAATTCATGATGATATTTTTCAAACGTTTTCTTTTGTAGTTTTTCAGTGAATTTTGGTCGGAGAGGCGAAACCTGAGATAATATCTCATTATTCAAACTAAAATGGATTTTTTTAAACCCACTCTAATTACAAACGCACACAGTCTGATCCACACGTGTAAACTAAGCTTTACAAACGTGTGCAGTACAGTCGTC